CACTCGCTGGGCCTGCCGGGTGCGCTTGCGCGCACGCTGTGCGCGGTAGGCATCACGGTCGGCATTTCGCCGGCCGTCCGGCTACTTTTTCCGGCAATCCATACATGACTGGTTATATTTTGACTTAAAATGACGGAAAATACATAGATTACTCGGGACTTGCTGGTTCTATTTTGAAATCACTCGGAGGAGGCTTATATAGCACCTCCGAGGCAATTTTGCTAGAAGAACTTGGACCGAACAACATGACTTTGACATGATATTCTTAAAATGAACTTAACTACATAAAAAGAGGGTAAATAGGAGTATACCCTTCAGTTCAGTCGAGGATTGCACGGTGATGTGCATGTGTGTGCTAAGCTTGAACGCGTGCGTTCGTACCTCCCTTGTGCTTCCGCCTTCCTTGGCTATTTTTGTATAACTTTTGTACAATATGTCCTTACTATTTTCTCTCTATTTTTTATGCTGAAGTTGGCTTGGTTTGCATGAGAATGCATGGGGAGAATGTCCCACATGCTCGTCTATTTATTAAGGTGAAAACCGTACGGTAATTTGGGTCAAAAGGGGGTGAGGGATGACATTGTTTCCCTTGATTTCAAGTGTCCAAAGCACGGCTGAGGTGTTGGGAAAATTTTGCTTAGTCATTGCCGAGGTGGCGGACATGCACGGCTTAGTCATCACTCGTGCGTCCGTGTCATGCCGTGTGTGCAAGCAAGGAGGTGACTCACCACCCCACATGCACACCCAACATTTATCCTTTGATTTATCCTCACGGTAACTCTTAAGATGGGGGTTTGGTCTGATCGAGTTACTAAGCATTGCCTAAGTGCGTGCTTAGCGGGCTAATGACGTGCGCGCTATGCACTGCGCGCGATGATGCGCGCTGCGCGCGGCTACGCGTACGGCTGCGTGCGTTGTGCATGTATGCATGCGTGCATAGTGCACTTTGAGTGTGTTCACAACTTAACCTTAGTTTCGACTATGAACTTAGTTCCGAACATTCTTAACTTTTAATAATTAATCCTGATTAATAATGTCCGTTTATAAAATAAACAGTTCGGAAATTAATTATCGAATTTGACTCGGTTAATAATTAACCAAATAAGCTTTTCGACTTAAAGTCGAACTTATTTGCTGAAAATGAACAGAATCAATAAAAGAAAATACATCACTTTATCAACAAAAAGTTGGGTTATTACATCAGGCAACTTCACATACGCAACTTCATTCAAGATCCCATTCAGAAATGCGGATTTGACATCCATCTGGTACACAATAAACCGCATTAGACAAGCAATAGATAAAAAATATACGAACCGACTCAAGTCTTGCAACGGGAGCATAAGTCTCATAAAAATCAACTCCCAGAGCTTGAATGTACCCTTGAGCAACAAGACCTGCCTTATTTCTAGTGATATTACCAAATTCATCAGTTTTATTTTTAAAAATTCGTTTGGTTCCTATCACATTACATGATGAAGGTTCAGGGACTAACTCCCACACGTCATTCCTAGTGAATTGCTCTAATTCCTCCTGCATTGCTTGTATTGAACACTCATCTTTTAGTGCCTCTTTCACGTTTTTAGGTTCTATCAAAGAGATGTAACATGCAAAGTGCGAAATCCCAATCATTTTCTTAAAATCTGGCCTAACACCTCTGGTTGTTCTCTCATCTAAAGCACCTATGACCTGCTCTGAAGGATGATCTTTCTGAATCTTCGCAGGTGGATCCCGCTTAGATTCAGGCAGATTTTCTGACGATGAAGGTTCATTGGACTCAAAATTTTGAAATTTTTCACCAACATTGTCCATAACAGGTTCTTCCGTCCTAACATCAACCTGATTCACCTTAACTTCTTGTTTATCCTGGGAAGACACAAAATTAACAAAATCAAAACCAATAGAACTAGATGAACTAACATTCGGCAAAACCTCATTAAAAATGACATTAATTGTTTCAATAATCGTGTGAGTACTTGTGTTAAACACCCTGTAAGCACGACTATTAGAAGAGTGCCCAAGAAAATAACCAATATCACTCTTGTCATCAAACTTACCTAGTTGTGCACGATCATTATAAATGTAGCACTTACAGTCGAATATATGCAAATGTTTGAGATTCGGAGACTTACCTTTCCAGAGTTCATAAGGAGTAACACCAATACCTCGTCGAATGTATACCCGGTTGGTGAGATAACATGCAGTGTTAATTGCTTCAGCCCACCAACAAAGTGACATCTCCTTGGAATGAAGCATTACTCTCGCCATTTCTTGTAATGTCTGATTTTTCCTCTCCGCAACACCATTTTTGCTGAGGTGTCTTAGGGGAAGAAAACTCATGAAAAATACCACGTGAGTTGCAAAAATTAGAAAAATCAACATTCTCAAACTCACGGTTATGATCACTCCGAATCCCAATAATAGGAAAGCCTTTTTCTTTTTCCAATCTCAAGCAAAGAGTTTTAAAAGTGTCAAAGTATCAGATTTTTCTCGAATAGAATCCACCCATGTAAAACGAGAAAAATCATCAACACATACGAATATGTACTTCTTACCATTGTAACTCTCTACCTGAATCTGTCCCATCAAATCCATATGCAGTAGTTTGAGTACTTGTTTGGTAGTGATCTGCTGTATAGCCTTGTGGGGTGTACGTTTCTGCTTCCCCATTTGGCAAGGTCCGCAAACTGGATGAACCTTCACTGTCAATTCGGCACCCCTCGAACAATTCCTGCATTAGACAAATTTATCAAATGAGAGTAGCCAATATGCCCAAGACGTTGATGCCATATCTCAGTGTCGCTAGAAATAGCTTGATGGCACTTTGAACCAACATCAAACAAATAACAATTGTCAGTTGAACGTGAACCTGAAAGCACGCATGCATCATTATTATCAGTCACAGTGCACTTACTTCGTGAAAAATTGACATTAAGCCCTTGATCACATAGATGACTAACACTAAGCAAGTTGGCTTTCAGATTTTCAACAAGTAACACATCTTTTAGTTTGGGTAACCCATCAATATTCAAGCAACCAACACCTATGACTTTGTTACTAAATCCATCACCAAAAGTGACCTCTTTACTAGACACAGACTTTATGTCAGATAAGTATAAAGGTTCACCAGTCATATGTCTAGAGCAACCACTATCCAAATACCATTTACCGTCCAATGAGGTTTTCAAAGACAACACAGATGCAAAACACATATGTTTATCCTTTACAACCCAAATCTTTTGCTGCATGTGGTTTTTAAGATCAACTTTAAATTTAGGAACCTTCATGGGTATACCTAACTGATTCCATTGACTCACATTTCCTAAATTTAAATCATGCTGCATCCTATAACATCTAGGACGTATGTGACCAGAGATACCACAATAATGACACACAGGAATAAAATTTTTCATATATACCTTCGGATGTTGGTTCATCTCAAGGAGAATTTGCTTACCTGATGAGCTGGGAACAAACTTAGCATGTAAGTTCTGAACCTGTTTACCTTTGTTGTTCAATAACTCATTCTTTTTCCCGGTATAGCCGAACCCTTGTCGACCGACTTGGCTCTTGTGCATGTCCAAGGGCTCGTCAACATCAGCCTTACCTTTGTTCATTTTGTTTAGAATCTGAGATGTACGTTCAAGCTTAGCTGATGTTTCCTTCAAATTCTGGTCGCATTGGGCTAAGCAATCCCTCAGGTTCACATGTTCGTTCATTACCCGAGAGAGTTCACCTTTGAGATTTAGAACCTCCTTATCTTTATCACTTGCAATTTTTTGCAACGAAAAAAGTTCAGTTCTTAAAGATTCAATGACTTGATCCTTTTCTGAACTTGCCTGCTTGAATGTTTTCAGTCCGTTCTCCAGGATGACGGTTCGTGCAAGTGCAGACTGAAGTTCAACCTCCTTCTCGTGTGTGAAAGACGAGGTCAATTGGTCATTGAGTTTGCCATTGATCTCTCTCATGTTCTGTAGCTCCTTCTTTATGTATTCAACATCTTTGTCCGTGTCAACATGATGTACGTTCATCTTGAGAGACTTAATTTGAGCACGCAGATTTTTCATCACTTTTGCAGCTTGTATGCATTTTTCCATCGCCAAGAGATGTACGGGATCATTGCACGTGCTCGGATTTGCAGAATCATTAGATCCACCAGAATCATAATTTTCATAATAATGAAGGTTCTTACCAGATTCAGAGTCAGAAGGACTATATGTAGAGGTAAGGCATAAAAAATCGTTTAGTGGGCAGACGACCATGTTGCTGGTAAACGATGTTGGTTCATTCGTCTACTCTTGATCTGAATCATCCCAAGACGCCTTCAGGGATTTGTTTTTCTTCTTCAGGTTAGCACACTCGAACTGAAAATGCCCAAAGCCTTTGCATTCTCTGCATTGGTCCTTCTCGACTTTTTGGTTCTCTATCTTGGAAGCATGGATGTTGGTTCGCTTTTCTTGGGAAGGAGCCTTGCTGAAATTCGTCGGCTTTTTCCCTTGAAATTTATTCTTGTACAGCTTCTGACGCATGCGGCCATAATTACTGACAATTAGTGCAAAGGCCTCATTAAATTCAACATCAACTTCCAATGAACCTTCATCCCCATCACTGTCTGCACTTTGATATGGAGCAGCAACTTTCAAGGCTAATCCCTTACTCATCACCTTGTTATAATCATTGTTGATCTCGAATGTTCGAAGCTCACCAAGAAGGTCGTCCAGATCTAGAGGCTTAACTTGTTGAAAACTTTCAAGCGTAGTGATTTTCTCACGAAAACGAGTCAGAAGGTCCTCATGATTTTTTGAACTTGTCGAGTTTCTGAGATATCTTCACCCAACATTGCACTTTGATTCACGAGGTCATAGAACCTTGAGTAGTACATGTCGATGGTCTCATCCTCCTTCATCCTTATGTCATCAAAGGCCAAGGTTATACGTTGAAGCTTGGAGGATTTTACCACTTTTGACCCTTTGAACTGACGTTCCAAAACACGCCATGCATCCTTTGCCGTGGTGCATTGGAAGATCATCTTGTGTCGAGTCTGATCAATCGCCATTAAAATAGCATACAAGGCTTGATAGTTAGCCTCTTCTTGCATTCTATCCATGTCAGTCCATAAGTCGCATGGTTTAAACACTTCAACGGACGATTCATCGGCATCACCTTTCTCCGGGCCTTTCTTCATCATCGGATGTTTCCAGCCGTTCTCAACACTTTGCCATGCGCCTTTTCCAAGTGAACGCAAGAAGATGGTCATCATCGATTTCCAATAGGGATAGTTCGACCCGCCAAGCTGCGGGGGTCGGGACATAGATCCACCGTCGTAATTCATGTTAGCCAAGTCATAGGCCACAAGATCTTCGTAATTGAAACGGAAACCCGCTCTGGTGCCAAATGAAATTTTGGGGGAGTACACAAATTCGCGTTGATACTAAAAACAATGAACGTTCATGTAAAATTTGCGGAAGCGAATAAATAAAAACAAACTTTCAGGAGAGTGTCCCACTCTCCCTCAGAACTATTTCATTAAGCAAGCGTTTGACCAACAAGTACAAATAGGATTTACACGCATAAACTCCCTCTAAGCTAACCTACTTTGTACTCCACCCACCTAACTACTTTTATGGCTACGGCGTGGACTTACGCTGTACGTATGGATCCCTCCAAGCAGAATAAGGATTCTCGTCCCAAGCACCAAGTAGAAACTAAAACAGAGACTGACAGCTCGAATTACCAGCAATGAACCTTCACACTGGAATCCGATTGTAACGCCCCGTCTGACTAATACATCAGAGTACGCGATTTTTCGCAAAGTATTCTGAATAAATAAATAAATAAACTAACTTTTTAATTTGCGAAACTGATTCGGGGGTTACCATGAAAAACA